CCGCAAAGCGCTTTCCTCATTTCATGATGGCCAACCGTGTTCCTTGCCGTATCCAGCAACACCTCGCCGCTTCTGTGCGTGCGACTGCCCCACAGATTGGGTTTATGGGCCTCCGTAGCACCAGGTGGCAAAGGGTGGGTCCCCATGGAGTTTATGAGGTGCAGCTTCTGTTTGTGGAAACACCTTGCCCTTGGCAAACAAAGCCCATGGCATCCAGTAAGTGCCATTGGGACTATCTCCCCTCTTGATGCGTTGCCATTTTATGGGGCCCTGTAGATGCATGGGCAAACAACTCATAAACGTGTTTGCTTGCCCTACAAACAGTCATGATGGAAGAAGAAGCAAGGGATATTTGCTCCAGGGGATGCTGGGAGGAAGGCTGGAGCAAAGGCGATGATGGTGCAGAGGTGGAAGAGTGTCAAGGGACCATCAAAGAAGATGGTCTCATCACAAGGGCTTTGTGTTCCTGTATCCCTGAATCATGGAGGCCTTGGGCTTGAATTGCCCTATGGAAGACCCAACAAACTATGGTTTCTCTCTCTCCCCCCCCCCCCCCCATTTCTGTCTATATCTCTTGTTACAGAGTGGACAGCTGAGAAAACAATCCAGAGACAAGCCACAGTTTGAGGTTGAGGCACCACAACAAGCCACAGTTGCAAACCATGGTTTGCTAGCAAGTGGCAAACTATTGTCAGAAGCCTTGATTTTATGTGGGTTAAACAAATCACATTTTGTAAACCAGCATAAAATCTAGGCATCTGACAATAGTTTGCCTTTGCTTGCAAAGACATGTTTGGATGCAACAGCAAGCCAGAATTCAGTTACCTGCCACCTGCCTTCCTGCTGAGTGCAAACCTGGCCATGATGTGCTATGTGCAAACATAGGAGACGCAGTGAATCAGGATGGAAGAAGGCCTGCAAGTCCCAAACTTGCAGGTAGAATACTAGGGAGAAATATTTGTTTTCTCCCACAGTTTGGAGAAAAGTAAGGTAATTATTCACTATGGCATGCTAGGATGAAACAATGGAGAATTTATGTCTCCAGTCTACACAGATAGATGGAACCAGGTCTGTTTTGCCAAATGCCGGTTCTGACCCATTGCCAGAGACAGTAATGCCACTCTGCAAATCAGTTGCTCAGGGACCAAAGTCAGAAAGTGCAGTTAAAGATGTGAGAAATCACCTTTTTGGACTACAACTCTCCCAACCAACATCTCCCAACCACTGATCATGTGAAACTGGGGGCATTGTTTTGCAAAAATATATACTGTAGCTTTTTCAAGATCTTGGTCCTATTCCATGGATGTCCAAACTGTGTGCTCTGCCCCCATCCTACCCCCCCTGTAGAGGTAACTGAATGCAAATTTGCAATTTGAACTGAGTTTGCAGCAAATCAAGTAAGCTGAGGACAAAGCGGGAGGGAGGAGATGGAAACTGGGACATTTTAAAAAGATGCTAAAAAAGTGGGATGGCAAAAAATTTAATCAGGACTATGGAAGGACAGGTGGAAGGTATGCAAGGTGGCTTTTCAAAGCTTAAAGAGGAAGGTGACAATGCTGTAGCCAAAGCACCATATAATGATAAAGTTTAAACTAAACGTTAAGGGGAATTTCCTCACTCATTGCTCATCGCTTTAGTCATGACCTTTCCCTTCCTGACCAAAATGGATGACAATTGAAGCATCCATGGATCACTTGATGTCTTTTGACGGTGCAAAGTATTTTACTATGTTTCTCTAAGGTGGGGCTGCTACCCATGAAAAATTCATATTGGTTTCTGATGCTGTTCTGATGCTCATTATCCAGGTGAAACTTACTCATCATGAGCCATTTTTACCATATTCCCCCCTTATAGTCCTGTAGTGATGTCTTTTTTAACCTTGCTGTACGCCGCCCCGATTGCTGAGCAGAGGGGCAGGTTACAAATAAAATTTTATTATTATTATTATTATTATTATAGTCCGAAGTCCTATAATAAATTTTGGCACACTCCAAATTGCACACCATGAGCTGTAGAAAAGTCTTGTTTCCAACAGGTGCGGCATCACACCCATCTCTGCATTTCTTTTGGGTGAAAGAGACTGCCAAGAGCACACACCTGGACTTCCTTATTCTTTCCAACTATATACTTATTATGGGTGACAAGTTCATTTCTGAACCTCCCTCGACTGACGTATCCTGTGCCCACCAAAAATGCAGGTGTGGTTGCAATGCCACCTTGCAGAGGGAATCTGGGCGCAGATCTTAACTGTCAGAGTCAACCTGTTAGTTTGCACGGGGGTCCTTTCACATCCTCTCCATCCATTCATGTCAACCAGGGAAAGACGGTACAGACAAGCTAGGAAAGCTTGCAGTAGTTTGCATTTGCCTGACCTACTGGGAAGGACAAGATTTGGCCCCATCCTCTCCATTCTCCATTGCTGAGTTAAATGAGTGCAAAGGACTTTTGCATTTTGAACTCAATTTGCAGCAACTGAAGGAAGCTGAAGATAAAGGAGGAAAGCGGGAGGATGAGCGAGAAACTAGTACATTTTTAAAGTAGCTGAGAAAGTGGGATGGCAATGGTTTAATCAGGACTATTCCTGCAAACCAGGACATTTGGGGAGTAATTGCCGTAATTAGTAAGAATTTATGGGTATATACCATAAAAGAGCAAAAGAACAGGAGAGTAATTTCAAGTAATTTCTGACTCATAGCAACCCAAAGGTTCATGGGGTTTTCTTGGCAAGATTAATTGCTACTCATTTACTGGGATTTCTAGTCCACAAGCTCTTTCACGGTCCTTTAAGATGATTTGCCCTTCGCAACAATCCTATCAGGTAGTCCAGCGCCAGCAAGGAAGCCAGGCCAAGGAAATGGCTTTCCTGCTCATAGGCAAAAGCAGAACAATGCAGTTTGAAGCAGCCCCATGACTGCAGACTCTTCAGAAGGGTTTTCCCCATTTTTCCAGCTCCTTGAGTTTTTGTCTCAGTCCTTTGCAAAAACATTTTGGCTTCTTCCTGCTGTCTATGGTGGAGCAGCTGGCAGACTGACAAAGAGAAGCGGTTGCAAGACCAGATTTGGAAACTCTGAAATGTTCCAACACTTCCCCCACATGACTCAAAACCCAGCAAAAGTAAGCAGATGGGCAACAAGTTGCTATTTCTAAAAACCAAGATATTTTTAAACTGAATTTGTTTAAAATATGGAAAAGAGATCTGCGTGGCTAGCACCGGTGGCTTTAGAGAAAGCTGGGTTCTTAGTTGTGAAGGCAAAATGGAGCCTCTCTATCCAGGGGCAGTATACTTGAATTAGTGATGGACAGCTTCCAATCCTCTAAATGTCATTGGATTGCAACTCACAGCAGCCCTAGCCAGGATAGCCAGCAGTGGAGGCTTATGGGCATTGACAATATCTGAAAGGGTACCATTTGGCCAGTGCTTGGAGAAGTTACTTTGTTGAAGTACAATTCTCCAAAACTGCTACCTACCACATCTATCTAGTACAAGGTGCAACTTGGAAAAATTGCTTTTGGGGAACAGTTTAGGACCCAGCATGGTGTAGCGGTTTGAGTGTTGGACTACAACTCTGGATTCGACCAGGATTAGATTAATGAAAACCCACGGGGTGACCTTGGGCAAGTCACACTCTCTCAGCCCCAGAGGATGGCCATGGCAAACCTCCTCTGAACCAATCTTTCCAAGAAAACCCCATGATAGGGTCACCTTAGGGTTGTCATGTGGGAAACAACTTGTAGGCACATGATGACAACAACAACAACTTTCAGATTGAATTCCCTGTGCCAGCTGTGCTGGATTGTGGAAGCTGCGGTCCAAAAAAAGTAACTTTTCTGAGAACATCCCTATATTAGATAAATGTTGGTCTTTGTCCAGCCGCTGTCCTGATTTCCTCTCTGCAGGAAAAGGTCTGTTTTGATGCTTTCGCTGGGAATGGGAACAGACGGCGCATTCATCCGGTTCCCCTTTGCAGCCTGTGGCATTTCCTATATGTAATATGGGAATTCCCAATAATAAATTTATTATTATTATTATATGTTGCGGCCATAGATTTCACAAGCTGGCAATGCTCTGTGCAGAGAAGGGCTTCCGTGTCTTTGAGCTCAAAGCCTCTGCTGCTCAGCTTCTCCAGATAAATTATCCAGTAGGAAATGCAAAAGATGGAAACCATGGCATCCTGTGGGGAAGCTACGTCATCCTAAATGAATTGCAACGTTGCACAATGCCTGTGTTCTCACTCAAGAGGGGAGCAAAGCCTCCGGAGTCATGGCAGGAGGGCCATTGCTCCACGGTGCAAATGCACAACATACCCGGATATGCAGTGCGAGAGCCCCGGTTGCACATCGCAAGCATGGTTGCATGTGTCCCACGTCAGCAATGTATCTCGGTCTCCATAAAGTTGCACAAGATATCCTCTTGGCCCATGATTGGGACATTTTGTCTGTTTAAGAGAGAAAACACAGGTTTCCTTAGGTTTCCTGTGAAAGCCACAGTCGAGGAATCTACGCAGCAGAGTTAATCCAGTTTGACACTGCTTTAACTGCCATGGCTCCATGGCGTGTAATCTTGGGATTTGTCATTTGTTGGGACAGCGGAGCTCTCCGACGGAGAAGGCCAAAGATCTCACAAAACTGCACAAAACTCCATAGCAGTCAGCCCTGGCAGTCAAAGCAGTCTCAAACTGTATTAATTCTGCAATGCAGGCGCAGCCCAAGGCTATTTTAACTCAAAATACTCTTCTAGGTGAATGGAGAACCCTAAATTTCAGGGACGTGCATCTTCCACCACAGGGCTTCAAGCTGAGGAACCCAGGCTAAGTTTTGGAGGAAGCGAGTAGTTACCTGGTAGACACAAGGAAACCACATTGCTCCGTTGCACATCTGGGTTTCCTCTCACACTCGCACACAGAACCCGCTTCCCACTTTTGATCGCGGCGTTTTGGGACGCTTGCAAAATCCAGGCTCTTTTGCTGAATTAAGAGTCGATAGTAAATAGTATTTTTAGAGCCAGCATGGTGTAGTGGGTTGAACGTCGGACTTTGACTCTGGTGGCCAGGGTTCGAATCCTCGCTCAGCCATGGAAACCCATGGGGTGACCTTGGGTAAGTCACACTCTCTCAGCCTCAAAGGATGGTAATAGAAAACTCCCTCTGAACAAATTTTGGCAAAAAAACCTACAATAGGGTCACCATAAGTCAGAAATGACTTGAAGGCAAACAACAACCAACAAATCCTATTGATTCAATGAGTCTATTCTAATTGGAACCAACAGCAAGAGTTAGGACACCATTTGTTGGTCCGGATCTGGACCCCATCTAAAAGTTTAGCAAAGTTGTTATTATTATTATTATTTGACTACAACTTCCAGAAGAAAAAGCAGAAGCAGAAGAAAAATGCTTAGCTGGCATGGGACGTCGTGCCCAAAAAAGGGCTGGGAGAATTTTGCAAATTATTGTAATATATAAAAAGTAACTTTGCCAAGCTTTGCGCAGGGCATTCGGAGGCATCTGTGACTGCAGCAGGATAGGACTTTGGAAAATGGGGAAAGGCCATAAAGCAAGGCATTTATGGAGAAAAAACAAGTAGCGTCTTCCTTCAGATATTGTCAACTATCCTTGAAATAATTCAGTATGTTAGCAGATGTCTGTGAGAGAGGTCACTCAGGCTGAGCTTTCCTAAAACAGTCTCCGCTTTGCTCTCTGGCATCGCACAACACAAACACAGCAGCCACAGAAACTATTTTGGAGGCAATGAGGGACGCAATCGAAATGGGAAACGCACCCCTGTATGGAGGTGATATGATAGCCCTGTTTAAGTATTTGAAGGAGTGTCATATTGAGGATGGAGCAATCTTGTTTTCTGCTTCTCTATTTCCAGAGAATAGGAAATATGGAGCAATGGATGCAAAACTACAGGAAAAGAGATTCCAGCTCAACATTAGGAAGAACTTCCTGACAGTAAGAGCTGTTCAACGATGGAAGACACTCCCTGGGAATGCAATGGAGTCTCCTTCTTTGGAGGTCTTTAAACAGAGGCTGGATGGCCATCTGTCATTGGGGAGGGGGTGCTTTGATTGTGAGTTCCTGCATGGCAGAATACAATTGGACTGGATGGCCCTTGAGGTCTCTTCCAACTGCATGATTCTATGATTCTTTGATCCATCCCTGGATCTGCAAGGAATCCAATCTGGAAGCTTTTGCATGCAAAGATGGATTCTGCCACTGAGCTCAACCTCATGTGTGTAACCTGAGAAGCTGGCAGAGATCCTGAGGAAGAACCCAGAGAGGCTGGCTTTGCAGCACTCAACAGGAAGGAACGGCATTTCCCGGTTGGATTTGCATCTGGGCTTTTAGCCTGCCTTTCCTGGATCAGGCTGTTCTTAACCACCGTTAATGGCCGAGAAAGCTTTACGTTGGTGGAGCCTTTGCCAAAACACAACAAAGACAAGGAAATGAAACGCAGCCCTAGGAAAGATGCTGCGCTTCTGGGCCTCAGTCGCTCACGGGGCAAAACTTTCTCAAGGATGCACACCATGCACGGCCATGGCGGTGATGTAAATGCAAACAAAATGTTAACAAGGCTGTTCCAGTTGGATATACACTACAGCACCTTTTAAATTTGTGTTTGTTTCTAAATGGAGGCTCTGTGTAGGGTTGCCGGGTCAGGACTCTCCTTAGCCCTGAGATTTCAGGGTCAAAACCTGAGACCAATCTATAGACACTGTACCTCTATTGATGCAGACTAGAATCACATTGGCTTTTTTAGCTGCCGCATCACACTGTTGACTCATGTTCAACTTGTGGTCTATTAGGACTCCTTGATCCCTTTCGCATTGCCAAGCCAGGTGCCCACCATCCTACATCTGTGCATTTCATTTTTTCACCTAGTACCTTATTGTGT